TTGGTTCTTGTTTGTTTTGGATTTATTGTTGGTGGTGTCATTGTGTGTGGATTTTGCCCTCCTTCTTCTTTTTGTGTTTGGCAAAATTAGATTATCTATTGCCTGTGTTTTTGTGAGTATAGTTATGTTCGTTGGGTTGGAGTTTTCCTTTCAAAACCTTCTGTAGTGATGGATTTGTGCATATGTATTGTTTAAATCTGTTTTTGTCACGGAATATCTTGTTTTCTCCATCTATAGTGATTGAAAGTTTTGCTGGGTACAGTAGTCTGGGTTGACATCCATGCTCCCTTAGTGCTTGTATGGTATCTATCCAAGACTTCTGGCTTTCAGAGTTTCTATTGCTCATTGGACTACAGGGTCAGGAATCGCATAGGATGTTAATTACTTGTTGGTCATTTGTACATTCCAGGTAAGAATTATAAAAAAACACATAAGGATCTTTTTTTTCTTCAATTGTCTTTATTACAGTAAGAGGAAATTTTACCCTTAATGCATAGAATCTGAAGAAAAAAATTTACATTTAGTTTTTAAAAGAGGCCTACTTGACAATTATTAATACAAATGTGAAATAGGGACCTTCAAACAAATACCAATTTCAGTAATAGTTTACACGCAACAATAATTTATTCTGAAATGTTCATTTAGTTTGAGACACAATTCATGTCTCATTAATAAAAGAGTAGCCATCTCACCTTAAATACCAGAATATATAGCAGTTACAGAGTAGCAAAAATTCTACCTACTTTTGATAAAATCTAGTTCAGTTAAAATAGTTTCATTCGGTGTTTTACAGTTACACAGATTTGAGCACAAAGTAGTGTGAATTGTTACACCATAGCTATCCTATGCACACCATGTGACCACAGAATCATTAATCATTACTCCTGAGATTGAACCATCAGTTTCAATCATGTAGTAAAGCATAGCAGGCTGAGTAAACATATTCATTGGGAACCATATTACTGTGAATTTCACAGCCACATGATTAGTTATGACATTAGATGGATTCACAAGGACTACTTTTGCATAAATACCAAATTCTCCCTGATGTAACTTTATAATCTAGAAATGATTGATGACAGCAATGTATCATATAGTTTCTATCTGTAGTGTTATTTTATGTCAAGTGATGATTAAAGGACAATGGGATGGATGCTACTTAAATACATGTAAAACATACTGTACAAATATACTTGGCTTTACCATTTTTTTCCTACCTAATAAGAGTGCTTCCCAAAATAAGTGGACTATCAAATATGGTTTCCAGAACAAAAACTCTCTAACAAGAATTAAACCTATTTACAAAAATTTTCAACCTTTAAAGTTTTCTTTAAAATGAAGTCTCTATACAGAAGTTTTAAGTCCTTCCCTTCCTGATATATCTCTGTCCACACATCCATCTGTTCAGGCTGGTGGATCTCCCATTGAATCTCAGCCCCACTATTGAGTACAATGATGGAAGACCAGCAAAGCACCATGATATCGCTTGCTCCCATTTTGAAAGTCCTTCCAGACTGCCAATCAACTGGGTAGGAACCTGGAAGTATAAACACAGCAAACACCCCTCATCCCTTCCTTGGGTGAACACTAGGAGAAGGAATGGAAGCTCATCTTCTATGCTTTCTGCCTCATCAGAGTCCAGTGAAAAAGCCAAAAGTGAGGAGGAAAAGCATGTGAGCTCCATGCCAGGCCCCAGACCAATGAAAGAAAACCAACTACCCACAAAAGGCACATGGAGGAAAATAAAAGAAAGTGAAATCTCTCCCACAAACAAGCTTTCTCAGACCACTTCCACAGGTGCTTCCAATGGTGCTGAATCAGACTCTGATTTATCAGACAGCACATGCTGTTTCTAAAACAGAGGATGTTAGAGTAAAAGGAGAGCAGGGTCCACTTGTTGGGTGGAGGTGGGACCTGAGAACAGTAGAAAATCACTGTCTACTAGAAAGATTCAAGATAAAAATAATGACAAGAATTTCTTGGGAAGAATGAGGAAATTCTACAGATTCAACATATGGGACTTCTACTCTGTTAGTCACTGGGAAGCCAGGCACGTTGTGAGAAAAGAGACTATAGGGGAAAAAAAGCACACAGGTTAGAATAATCAGAAAGCTAGAAACGAGAGGGAAGATGCTGTACTGGAGAGTTAGAAACATTCTTTTAGAAATAAAAGCATAAATTCAGGTTGCACTGGTCAGAATCTGGGTTAAAATTACTGCGCTGTCAGAGTTCTAGTGTGAACTGCACCCAGCCTCATCCATATGCTGTGAGAATGAAGGGTAGGAGGACCCATAGTTGACAAAGGAAAGCAATCCATCAGATAGGAAGCAAGGGAAAATAGTGTTTGTAGAGCAATTTAAAGCAGGATTACTTTTAGATTAATCATATGAACTGGTAATTATTAAATTTCTTTACAGTCATCTTCCAACTTCTTTCTACTCTCCCATACTTTCTCCATGGTTTCCACTGGCAACAATTCAAGAACTAGCTGTTGCCTCCTAAGAATGAGGAAATTCCACAGATCCAACATACCAAATAGATTAGAAATACAGCTGATGGGGGAGAAAAGATGGTTGGGGAAAGTTCTTATCATTTAACAAAATGAAGTAGTGTTTCTAAATAAATAAAAATAAAATAGTGTTTCCATGGCGGAAAAAAAAACAAACCAAAACAAAAAAACAGAGGATGTTTGGGTGAGAATTGAGAACTGCTCCATTAACAAACAGGGATCTTTATGGGGCTATGTGATATTGCTGTGTTGTCAGAGAGTCCACAGGAACCTGCCTATGCCAGGCTGTAGTGACCTACGTGACTGTGGCCTCATGCTTATGATTCTCCCTAGCCAAAGAATTATGGTACCTTATTTTTACAGTATTAATATTTAAAGTCCTTTCTCATGGGCATGGTCAAAGTGAGGCCATATTTTAAATTCCTGATTTAAATCAGACCAGTTAATTATGACATTAAAAGTGGCTAAAAATTGTATTTTTACTTTTAGGATCATTGGTACACACACTTGTTAGGAACATGGTGAATTATTATAGTTATATTTTTGGTATCTTTCAGGACCCCACTGATGGACAATTGGTATTCATTATCATATCTGTACTTCAGTACTATTGGAACGTTGGTGACATTGTTAGTGGGGATACTTATCAGTTTATCAACAGGTAATTACCTTAATATTTTTATGTTCACTTGTAGATATTACAAGAGTTTCCTATGTATGATTTACAGCTCTTTACGACACTTTACCATGATCTTATTACTGATTTAAATTAATTTTAAAATTTATTCATGGGGTATTTAAGAGTCTAAACTTAAGGCCGAATAACTTAACCCATCACTATTGAAATATTGGTTCTGCCATTTAATAGCTACCTGGATTCAGGCAAGGTACACAACCACTCTACTCAGAGCCTTAGCATGGTTCTGTATAAGATGAAGATGATGGAGATAGGTTGCTATGAGATAAATTGAGGTGTAGGGGACTCTTAATTCCACAGTTGCTTATTATGAAGACAGGGAGAGCTGTGTGCATGTGTGGGCAACATTGTTATGCCTGGATGTTTCCATTATCCAATACATATCCTTTGTAAACTTAAGAAATGTACACACGTGTAAGGAACAATAACTATAATGTTTATGTGTGAATATAGTATAAAGCCTTTCAAAATGCTCATAAAGTGTAAAAATGTTTTAATAATAAGTTGATAATGCACAGACTGTAAACTTATCTGGAATGGAGGTTTTATCCTGAGATTTTATTTTGTTCTCATTGTAGGAATTCTCTTGGCCCCCTTCCTGTGTTGTTATGTCCCACAACTTCTCACTTACGTTTGCACTTCTAGTTTATTTTAAAATCAATTAATATTCTTAATGTATGAGTATTTTACCCGTGTGTATGTAATTGCACTGTGTGTTTGCTTCATGCCCACAGGGGACAAAAGAAGGTGCCACATCCTTCCTCACTTGTTATTCTGAGCCACCATGTGGGTGCTGGAAACCAAATCCCAGTCCTTTGCAATAGTAAACTGCAGAGTATTAGAAACCTGTAAGAACCCAGATGGACACACTTGATTGACCTTCAGCTCCATTTGACTCTTTGCACTGAGTGGTTTGTTTTGTCAGTAAAGTGTGTGTGTGTGTGTGTGTGTGTGTGTGTGTGTGTGTGTGTGTGTGTGTGTGTGTGTGTGTGAGAAACTATCAAGAGTTCAGTGGCCCCACAGTTTCAATTTGGTCAGGATCAGGGAGTGGTGGCTGGATCTTTAGGACTACTTTGAGGTTTTCTTTGCATTGTTTTGAGTGTAGAAAGCTGTTGTATGTGTCTGTATGACAGTGTAAATAATGTATTTGTTTTTCAGGAGGAAGGAAACAGAATTTAGACCCTCAATTCTTACTGACCAAACGGGACTTTTTATCCAATTTTGATGCTTTTAAGAAAGTAAGTTTTGTTTCTCTTAAATTAGGGAAGTAGGTTTTTAATCATCAGAATGTAATACTAGTTAGTCCCCAGCACTTTTCTTGAACAGACATACAGAAGGGATATTTTTATATCTACAGGTATACAGTTAATAGATAACGATTGGAGAGAATACATGGGTATCCATGTCTAATGTACACCATCCTATCTTCTGTTTACTTATATTGCTTGGCTATCACTCTCCCTTGGTAGATTTAGAGAAATGAAAACAGTAGTAAGGATTATCTGTCATGGCACAAATAGTTTCTTTCTGAAAAAATTTTCCATGTAACCTTTTCTTTGCAGAAGAATCATGTTTTAAGTTATAAATCGCATCCTGTGGAAGATGGTGGAACTGATAATCCTGCCTTCAACCACATTGAACTTAACGCCACAGATCACAGCAGCAAGATCAATGGGACTCGCTTGTGAAGCATCTCCAGGGCCAGAGGCTACTATCTCATCAGTGTCTTTTTGGTTTTAACGTGTTTTAGGCTAACTGTATCAGATTATTTTTCCCTATTGTAGGTATTTTGGAAGATTTGTTTTCGCTAAAGCTAAGTCCCGACTTGTTTTACTTTCTACACTGATTTATTGATGTTAGAGTTAAGAGTTTCAACATCAGCATATTCCAATAGAGCTACAGTTGTGAATGTGATGACTGCATACAGTCTGAAAGGCAAATATAGACATACACACATGATGCTTGATGATCAAAGGCATATTCTTACATTTTGGCATTATTGAAAATATTTTTATGCCTTTGGTGCTAGTATATAAATTCTGGGATATTTATCAGAATCATAAATCCTGGAAAGAGCTTTCTTGCCTCCCCCTATATATTCTGTTTCTAGGCAGCAGTGAAATGAGGAGGGATAGAGGATGTCTGTGGTCTTCACCTCTGGATCAGGCCCTGGTGTAACCTTTCTACTGATAATGCCTCTGGAATGGGGTAAACAAAAGGATCCTGCCCAGGAGACAATAGGGATCCAAGGATCAAGATGATGTTTAATACATTCTTGTGTCTGTACCCCTTCCCCAAGTCCCTGGTTATTGGCCAATTACATTGCCTGTCATTATAGACCATTGCCTATAGAGTATAGACTATAAACTCTACTTCTTATCTTCATTCTTAGTTTCTGGCCCACCAATCTTGCTTTGTTGGGCACATTGTCCAGGCTTAACTGTTCCAGCTTTCTGGGCTTATATATGTCTTGAGACAACTGATATGAATCATGTCACCTCTGTCCCTCATTCACCAGGTCCCAGCCTATAAATTATATATGCCCATGCACCTGGTACTGATTAATGCATATGCCGTGTAGAACACTATATACTAAAAAAGTCAAGTCCCATTGAGTCAGATAATTGCTTTTAGTGCAGTTAAGTTGAACCACTAATTCACGAGTTTAAAGAGCTAAATTTCATAGGGAAATATTACTTTTTTTCACTTGTCCCAGATGAATTAAATATATGCTTTGTTTATATTTATCTATCTCCTAAGACTTCAAGGAGTAGTCTCAAAATTCTTAGCCATTTATTTGGCTATGTTCATTGCTACAACTTGTGTTACAGAATTTCATCAATAACTTATTTTTTCTATAATACACACATTAGATATCATTTAAAATATTTTAAAGGTTTTCACATTTTTACAAGAGAAATATTGACATTTTGAAAATAATTTATAATTTTATACATACTTTGGAGTCTGTCATATTTAGATGGCCATGCTTTGTACATTTAAATATTGTTAACTGACATTAAAACTAAAATGCTAAAACATTTGCATTTATCTGAAGCAAATAGATATGTTTACCATTTAAATCAATTATATATTTGTGTATTTCTTATGTATATAGATCTATTTTTGATCACCATATTTGTAAACAAAAATCAATTTTTGTGACTCTTGCAGTACTATAGTGAACAGGGTCATATAATCTTATATGTAGTCTTACATAGCTATGATTTGAGGTATAATTGTTTATTAAATGATTCTGAATGAATGCATATGTATAATGCTTCAGGTCTGGCAATGAGAACCAGTTTATTTGAATAACTTTTTCTTTGATTGATTGCCCTGAGATTATGCAATGTGTTTTTCATGGGAAATGATATTCCAGATGCTCTTGTATACTTCCCATAAAACAAAGCATATCTTTGTGACATTTGGAAATATAAGTGTTTTACTTTTACAATCACACAGGAGTGTCAGATAAATTCTTAAAGTAAAATGATGTTGTTATTACCTAAATAGTGTTTGTTCAAAATGCTTTTGAAATTGAGGCAAATATGGGTGAGTTGTCTGCATATTATAAGGTAAATAATCTTTTCTTAGTTTTATTGAATCATAAAAACCTTAAAGAAGGAAAAAACATACAAGTTGTCAGCCACTAGCTAACAGACAGAGAGGAAGTAAGACGGTTGGGCAGAGAGGAATATGGGTGGAAGGAAACAGGAGCTCCCTCTTTCCAGCTGAGAAGCTGTTGAGGTAAGGTGTGGCTGTGGCTTGCTCCTTCATCTCTCTGATCTTCAGACACACTTTGTTTGTATAATGAAGGTATCCCCACATGGCAGTATCTTTTGCTGCTGACAAATATGTCTTTGAAATTGTCCTTAATTCCATTTAATGATGGTATAAGCATTAGGCTGCCTACCTCACAGAAATAGTGTGAGATGGATCAGAGCTTTGACAGAATAACATTTTTTTAATTCAAATAATTTGAATCAAAAGCAATTTGCTAGTTTTTTTTCTTTTTTTTGAACTAAGATGAATCTGTACTTTCATGATGTAGAGAAAAAAAGCTTCCCTAAAAATATGTGTGCCTTAGGAATAAGACAATTTGAAGACCAGTGGGATTATTCCAACAGAAAGAATAGAAACCTTAAAGAAAGGCACAGCCCAGTCCTGTTCATTCTACAGAGAGATGAAAACTTTAGTGGTTAAGATGTAAAGCAGTACAGATTCTTGTTTGTCAACATGATGAATTGTTGGGGCCCTTTTTTTGTTGTTTTTCTTTCTATTGACTAGTAGTTACCAACATGGACCATTGTGCTCCTCTGGGGATGTATGGAGACATTTAAGTGGTCACAATGAGGGGAGGGTGCCAGTGTCACATAGGAGGTTATATTCGGGAAGCTACTTAAAGTCCCACAGGATAGGGCAGCATTCCTCCTCCACCTAAAGATACTAATAGTGTGTGTAGCTTGAGAAACCACAGACACTGATGCTTTTTAGACATCAACAATCTGATGTTTCTATCTGAAAATAGCATTCATTAGCTTGTAGAACATTATGATGTGGATAATGGACACATATTTTAAGAAAGGTCTGAAAATGTTAAGATATTTTCACAAATATTGGGTATTTAGACTAGCCTTAGGCCAGTTCAGCTTCTCAATCTGGTTTCTAATATGGCCACACATTAGGACAATATGAAACACATGACAGTTAAGATCTCCTAATTTCACATTATTTATGACAAGCATAGGGAATGCAATTTGCTTTATTAATTGAGCATATGATATAGATGAATGGGTCAGGGTGGAGGTTGAGACAGTGAACCATCCTGAATTGATTCTGACAGGAAAGTCTGAGGCTTCTCATAAAGATTATTGACAAAGAGTAAACTGAGGAGTAGGGGTTGCGGTTCAGTAGTAAAGCTCTTACTGAGCATGTGCAAGACCGTTGGCTTCCTTTATAGCACCTCTAAAAACTGAATAACTCTGTACACGACCATTTAGTTCTCAAAAAATGCCTTAATGCATATTGAATTAACTTTGTACCATTGTTGGTGAAACTTGGGGGAAAGGTGAATATTTCTAGAGAAAATATGATTGAAAATCTAATTTTTTAAATTAACTGATTAAAATTTCCATAAAAATCTTTATAGTTGTCTGTTCTTGGAATAAGTGTCTGAGTGAATATAATGAATGTTACCTTCCTTTATAAAACAAAGATATTTCTATCTTATTTATTCCATAAAGGGTTGCCTTGAACTAAATGCTTTAAATAAATTAAAATACTGAAAGCAAATGAACTGGTACAATTTTGTCATTGAGGACCATTTTATATTTTAATTAATTAACATTGTACTTGAAGTCAGAAATGCTATGATTTACATGTTGTACTTCAAACAGTCATGATGGAGAGCTTGGTACAAAAGGTGGCACACCTAGAAGAGAGTTGATCCGTGGGAATTGGGTCTAGAGCAGGTCTTCAGATCATAGGCAGTGATGACCTCAGAAGTGATTGTTGAATGCCACTGATGCCATTTCTTTAGTCTTTACTGCATTCAAGCTCTGACCACTTGTTGCTCCCTGTGTTCCTGTCACGATGAGCTAGCTTCATCAGGGGCTAAAGCAAATGACCACCTCAGCTATGCCGTGAACTTTGAGATCTGTGAGTTCAACCAACCTCTCCCTTTGGAACTCAGATCCACCCCTCAGTGATCTGCTGGAGGACATGAACAGACTGGTCCTGCAAACCCAAAGCTGTAGGATTTCCGCAACCCAGGGTAACAGCAGGATAACCAAGAGGAGTTCCAGTGAAGACCAATATCCATAGTGTAGCAGAAACCAGAGGCCTTGACAGACCAATGACTCCCTGCAATGAACACTTGCAAGTAAAGATATATGGATAAAAGAGATTTCATTGACTCAGGCATTTCATTGTAGTAATGTAAAGCTCATTAATATAAAAGGGTACAAAACAAAGTAGACCAGGGATGTAAGTCGGTGGAAGAGCCCTTGTCTAGCATCCAAAAGGTTTGATACTACCTAACAAAAAGCATGAACATACAAAAAAGAACCAGCTTTCCTGTATCAACTTTAGTTTTTAGTTGCTAAAAATCTTAAAATTAGTGTGAATAATTGTTGGTAACAGCAGGACTCCAGACTAGAATTGGAAACACCAAATATGAAAATTTTCATTTTCTTGAAAAAAAGTTTTAAAGTTAAAAATTTTATCTCAAAGCTGTAACTTCTAGGATATAAAATTAAGTGGTCAGTCAAGCTAAAGAAAGGTTTAGGTACAAAAGATGACTGTGGTTACATCCAACTGCCTAATTTGGGAAGTGTCCTGAAAGCAGATGCCAAGTTTCTTGTTTGGTATGAACCTCCTCTTCTGTGGCCACTTCTGGTCGTTTAATTGAAGTACCCACTTATTCCCCGTCCAGTCACCGGGTGAGCAAAATCCGATTTTCCCAAGAGGGGAATTCCATCTGACCTTTTACTGTGAAGGATAGATTAAATCTTTTCAATTTAAATTCATCAAACTGAAGATATTTTTGAAAAGTCCCAATTTTATCATCCATAGCTATTTCACAAGCTCTTATTTCCTCATTTTACGAAGGCCCATTTTCCCTTTATCTTTGTTTAGGTGAACTCACCCAAAGGGCACAGAGGGTGAGTTGATGACATTGTATCAT